ACCCAATTCAGCTGGTTTCACCTCTTCTCCCCAAACCCAATCCAGCTGGTTTCACCTCTTCTCCCCAAACCCAATTCAGCTGGTTTCACCTCTTCTCCCCAAACCCAATTCAGCTGGTTTCGCCTCTTCTCCCCCAAACCCAATTCAGCTGGTTTCACCTCTTCGCCCCAAACTCAATCCAGCTGGTTTCGCCTCTTCTCCCCAAACCCAATCCAGCTGGTTTCGCCTCTTCTCCCCAAACCCAATCCAGCTGGTTTCGCCTCTTCTCCCCAAACCCAATCCAGCTGGTTTTGCCTCTTCTCCCCAAACCCAATCCAGCTGGTTTTGCCTCTTCTCCCCAAACCCAATCCAGCTGGTTTTGCCTCTTCTCCCCAAACCCACCCACTGCTCCAGCCTGCAAGGTTTCCACAGGGCCCCCTAACATGCATGCCTCACCCACTGTTGTTGGGCTGTCTTCTCTGGGAGTGCCCCCCCTTGTCACCCCACCTATCCAGGTCTTCCAGCTCAGCTCAGCTCCTATCTCTTCCCAACGCTTTTTCTCTGGCTGCTGAATAACTTTCCCCTTCCCTCCCCATAGCTCTTGGCTAAATCAGTGTTTTCAGCTGGCCTCACGCATGGCCAGGTGCTATTGTTTAACCTCCTCTCCTGTTCCCCATCTCCTTTATAAGCTCCTGGAAGGTGGAGCAATTCTCCTTGTCTTTGATGCCTCCCACCGTACCTGGGATACTGTGGTGCAGCGCGGCTGGTGCTTGGTAAATATCTCCTGAGGCGATGAACGTCTTCTCTGGTCCCTGGATCAGAAATGACTGGGGAAGGAGGACACTGAAGGGTGCAGGAGTCAGGTGAGAGGAAGTAGCGTTTGGAGAGGGCTTGGAATTCTGCAGGGCTGCAGGGTGGAGCTGTGCCCTTTCATCCCTGTAGTAACCTTAGGCACCCTCGACCCCTCAGGGAGAGTGAACAATCCCCATCTCATATTAGAACATCCTCATGGGGAATCAAGAACTGCCCCATTCCATTCCACCCTCTCAGCAGCTCTGGGAGGCAGCTAAGATGGTGCAATCACATCCTGCCCTTTTGTAAAGGAGGCTCAGGAGGGCTAAGTGGCTTGCCTGAGGTCACACAGCAGGTGAGGGGTGAACCCCCAGAGGGGAGGTAGTTCTGTCAGACTTCAAGGCAGGGGTCTGGGGCCCCTCTGGGAGCTTGCTGGGGCTTTGTCACTGCTCTGAAGATTCAAATGAGTCTGAGAAGGTGGGGAAGCCTCTGCTGTAGAGGCCACACCAAACTCCATGAGGCCAGAGTGAGGACGTCAGGCTCCTACTACTCCCACTTCTTTCCCTGGAGTTCTGAACACACCCATTGCTTCTGTGGCCACTTACCCACTGCCCATATGCCCAGCCTTCAATGTGGCACATAGCAGAGATTTGAGGTATTTGCTGGTCTGTGCCTCAGTTTCCTCTTTATGTGTTTGCTCACTCCCTTCTCTTGGCAGGTAGGGCGAGGTTAAATTAATGCTTATTTAAGGGTTTCTGCATTCTGAGCTGACAGGTGCCTTGTGATGGTAAAATATGAACCCAATGTAAGTGCAAAATGCTATTGTTTTACACCTGAGGGTGATGTTTCATAATGGCAATGCACTGTCAGAGCCGTACGCAGAAATGAATGGTGTGTCTAATCCTCCCTTGCTCCCCCAGACTCAGAAGACAGAAGCTCACATCCCAGGGTGGGAGATATATGAGGCTCCTTGCCTTTTGCTATAAATCTGCCTTTTCATCAGTCCTGACAGGTGGCTGGACAATCCCAGTCAATTCATCAATTAAATCTACCCATTTGTAGTTGCTGGGAACCTTGTGTCCTTGGCTTTGGCAAGATCCGAGGCCCAGGAGTGCAGGAAGGCTGCTGTCATTGTGGTTGATGCTCCTGGAGGGAGCAGAAGGGGCCTGGGAAGTGGCCGTCTCAGGAGGCAGGGAGAGTGGAATGGATTTCCAGCCACTAGAGAAGGAGAGTGGGATGTGTGTTTGGAATACGGCTGGGGTGGAGGAAGGGTTGGGGAAAGTACCCAGCCTGAAAAACCATTTTCTGTGGTTTGATTTGTCTTCCATGGAGTTTCTGCAGTAGAGCAGGAGGTACATTCCCCAGCTCTGAGGCAAGGCAAAACTGGGTTCTAGCCTCAGCTCTGGCATTTGCACATTGTAGCACTTTGGGGAAGTTAGTGAACTTCTCAGAGTCCTAATTTCCTTATCGGTAAAATGGAAATAATAACAATAACACCCCCTAGGGAATTATGAAGATTAAATATAATATCTGTATAATATAAATACAGTATCTAGAATGGACCTGGCACAGAACCTGGCCTGTAGTTAACAATGAAGTCAGTGGTGGCTATTATTATTGCTGGAGGTATTGTCATTAGAGGGCTACATCATACTTAGCCTTAAGAATTTACTTACCTTCTCACATGAATCAATTCCTGAATTCCTCCTTGTCAGGGATTCTCTCGGCTTCCTAAGTCCATTTACAGGCACCATAGTCTGTCTGTAATGTGATGGATTTTTGGCTCCCAAATCCATGAAGCTGCCAGGGTGAGAGTGCCTGATTAACTAGGTTTCTCAGGAGGCACCCAGGACCCCCGAGCAATGTCCCTGTTCCCAAAAGCAAGGTATTGTCTGAAATGCCCAGAATCCAACAGAAATCGCTCCCAGGAAGGGGTGTGCATGTATGTGTGTGTGCACCTGTGTGTTCTTGGCCAGCTGAAAATGGAAGTTGGTGGCCAAGTTGTGTCTGAGGGAGGTGAAAATCCCCTCTTTATTATTGCAGTGGTTATACTGTGGTCATACATCACAGAATGGTTAGAGTGACTGTAGGGTCAAATTTCCCAAGTCTGTGTCCCAGTGCCCTCACTTACTGGTTCTGTGGTCTTCAGTAAGTTGCTTTGATCTCTCAGTGCCTTAGTTTCCTCATCTGTACACTGGGATACTAATAGTACCTATGTTTTAGTGTTGGGATAATTAAAAGAAGTCATATAAGTAAAGTCCCTAGCAACAGTGCCTGGCACATAGAAGATGCTTAACAAATATTTGCTGAATGGATGTCAGTAAGGAAGGCTTTCAGAAAGTGAGAAGAATCTTGGAAGTGGGACCTGCTAAGTGTGTATTCTAAGAGAAACCTCCTGAGCCTCAGTTTGCTGCCTGGTGAAATGGCATGATTTCATGCTCTTGGGGAACACTCTAGCCACAGCAAGTCAGTCATGCTTCCAGAGCTTCTAAGGGTCCTGTGCAGAGCAGACTTGCTTGGCCACCAATTTTGTGACTGTCACAAGAGTAGGCAGCATGAGGAGGAGAATGGCAAGGCCATGTGGCTCCCTTCTCCAAGAAAGTGTCTTTCAGCTGCTATGAGTGCGGTGCCTGGTGGGGACAGCAAATGCATTTGCTGCTAAGAGGATGCTCCTGACACCGCAGCAAGAAGCCCACGAATGTGTTTTCCAGCACGTCTGCTAATGGCTTCATCACAGCTTTTTATGAGACGATGTGAATTGCTCTGACCAATGAGGCTTAATGGCCTTCCTCAACGAGCTGCCTGGTATATTCTCCCCAGAGGCTCGGCTCAGAGTTAAGCCAAGAATATTAATATGGCCGGATGTGGGCCCTCCCCCATCCTATAAAGTTGTGGAAATTGAGGTCAAGTTGGGTCCCCTGCAACGTTCTTTAAACAAGCAGCGGAGTGGTTTGTTTGCTCGTTGATCTTCCTGGTGGAGAGGGAGTGGTTTCCAGCTAGAGACCTGGGACCCTGCCCTCTCTTCCTCTAGGTTGGTGTCCACTTGCTGGGCAGTGGATTTCTTAAAGGAGCAGGCTCCTCAAGAGGAAGAGGGGCACCCCTTGATTCCAACATTCAGGGCTACTGGGATAAGAGCAGGAAATATCTAGGCCTGATGCTGGGATAAGAGGAACAGATGGCTAGTCCTCCCAGTCAGGTGGATCTGCCACTGCCAGCTGTAATCATAAGAACATTCTCCCATGTGGTTGAGGGTTGGAATGGCACCATGTCAGAGATGGAAGGGGGTCTTTGCAGTCTCACCCATCCTCTCCCTCCACTTTCCAAGTGAAGGAGCAGATGATCTGAGTGAGGAAGGGAATTGCACAGTCACATGGTGTCAGAGCTGAGTTTAGAAGCTGGGTCTTTTGGCCTTAGTCTAGATCTTATCCACCCACTCTTCTGCTGGCCCTCATTCAGTCCTCTGTGGCAACACATTTCTCAAATTGGCTATCAGGGTCTCCTGCACTCTTCCATCTTCCATTCCAGGCGAGCATCCCGGCTCCTGTAGCCATTCATCTCAGAGCATGGTCTTGAGACCTTTTGCAACTTTCATCTGTGGGACGGTAGAAAGAGCACTATAACTCTCTTTAGGAGCAATGGGGTCACGTTTTAGTTCTGTAACCTAGCTGTGTGATTCTGAACAAATTCCAAAAATCCTGGGTTTCTTTTTCTTTTTCTCTTTTCTTTTTTTTCTTTTTCTTTCTTTTTTTTTGAGACAGTCTTGCTCTGTTGCCCAGGCTGGAGTGCAGTGGCACGATCTCTGCTCACTGCAACCCCCGACTCCCGGGTTCAAGCGGTTATCCTGCCTCATGCTCTCAAGTAGCTGGAACTACAAGCACGCGTGCACGGCTAATTTTTGTATTTGTGGTAGAAACGGAGTCTCATCATGTTGGCCAGGCTAGTCTTGAACTCCTAACCTCAGGTGATCCGCCCACCTCGGCCTCCCAAAGTGCTGGAATTACAGGCATGAGCCGCCGCACCTGAAGGCTGGGGTTTCCTATAGATCAGGAACTGTCTCTGATTCACCTTTGCCAGTGCCTGCTATATAGTCAGTGCCCGATAGGCGCTTACTGAATGACTGATGCTTGAAGGTCAGGTGAATGAGTGCAGCCTGTCGCAAGCCTCCGTGGCTTGTGTGGGTATTGTTAGAGCCCATGCTAACCAAGTCTCTCCCCTTGCCTCTCCTGCAGCCCGCCCTGAAGATGTCGGCACCAGCCTCTACTTTGTAAATGACTCCTTGCAGCAGGTGACCTTTTCCAGCTCCGTGGGGGTGGTGGTGCCCTGCCCGGCCGCGGGCTCCCCCAGCGCGGCCCTTCGATGGTACCTGGCCACGGGGGACGACATCTACGACGTGCCGCACATCCGGCACGTGCATGCCAACGGGACGCTGCAGCTCTACCCCTTCTCCCCCTCCGCCTTCAATAGCTTTATCCACGACAATGACTACTTCTGCACCGCGGAGAACGCTGCCGGCAAGATCCGGAGCCCCAACATCCGCGTCAAAGCAGGTAAGGGACAAGACGCCTGCTGCCCCAGTGGCACGGGAGAAGGCTGTGCCGTCATTCTCAGGGTATGTGTGTAACATGCTCGGGGCGGGGGGGCTTGCAAGAAGTCATTCACCCAAGAACAGTTTTGTTGTTCACTTTTGCATCTTAGTTTACCACTGGCTGTGTGTCCATAGGCATAAGAGACTCTTTCTCTCTTTCTCTTTCTTTCTTTTTCTCTTTCTTCTTTCCTCTTTCTTTCTCTCTCTCTCTCTTTGAAACAGAGCCTCACTCTGTCGCCCAGACTGGAGTGCAGTGGCGAGGAGACATCTTCCTAAGCTTCAGTTTTCTCATCTGCAAAGTGGATGCAACTGCCTACCTCTGTATCACCACGTGTGACGGTTAAATGAGATGGTGCTCATTTAAATGAGGTGCTCACTTCAGCCCTTGACTTATAGAAAATCCACAGTGAGGTTTTCTTGAAGCCTTTTATTAAAAAATAATAATTAAAGAAAAGTGCACACATTATAAGTATGTAGCTTGATGAAATTTTACAAAGTTCAACTAACACTCAGATCAAGAAAAACAACATCAGCACCTTAGAAGCCTTCCTCAAGCTTCTTTTCCCACACTATTCCTCTAAGAGCCACCACTATTCTGATTTCTAACAATATAGATATTTTGCTTATTTATGAACTTTATACAAATGGAGTCCAATGGTATGTGTTGTCTAGACCTTTTGCTCACCATTCTGCTTATGGGATTTACCCTTACTGCTGTGTGTGGTAGGAAGTTGGTTGTTGTCACTGTCATCTAGTGTGCTATCATGCAGCTAGAACACACTTTCTTTGTCCGTACTACTGCTCAGGGGACGTCTGAGGATAACACATCTCATGAGAAAAGGCATTTTGGTGAAATTCACAAAGAAATACTTTTAGCAGTGAAGGATTTTGGTCTTTGGAAGAGTAGATGGAGGTGAGGAAGTAGCGTTTCTCAGGTGGTCTACTTTAAGAAAAAAAGTCTCATTTATTTGGATTAGGGCAGGAGGCCAAGGGGACAGCTTAGATCAGCCATTCTTCACTAGGACATCAGGGTACGCTGGCGTGTCATAATCAGTGGCAAGGTGGGTCTCGGATCATTATAAAGCACTGAAGTTTTGGGAATGGTTTTCAACTTAGAGACCCAGCCCACTGCAATGGTGCCAGGCCTAGGTCATGCCATCTTTTCCAGGGACTGTGTTGGACCAACCAAGGAGAGTGGTTCTGGGAAAGGCCTCCCAACCAGCATGTGGTGACAGACCCTCTCTGACTTTTTGGGGTCCTTTTGCCTTAGGGACACCTCATAAAAGCAAGGTTTAAAGTAGCTGGGAACGGGAGTGTGTAGGGGTGAGGTGGGGTGAGAGCTCTGCCCCATTCCATCGGTTGGTTTGGGGCTAGACCATGAGCTCTTAGAACACAGAGTTGCTCAGGGTTTCTCCCCGGACTCCCCATGGACTCTTTTTAAGAGCAAGTCCTTTGCACTGCTCAACCCCAATGCAACACCAAGTGCTGGACTAGGAGCCCTGGGGCCTGGATTTGGAGCCCAGCTCTGGCCTCCACAGCGTGGAGGATTGAGTTAAGGGGAAGGGACCGTGTTTCCTGTCACCTCCCCCTCATTGGGTTAGGATGCAGTTTTCATAGTAAGTGTATAAATGTGTTTTTACAAATGAAGAGATTAAGACAAAGAGAAGTTAAGTCACTTGTCCAAGGGCACACAGCCAGTTAATCACAGATGTGCAGCTATCATGAAAAGTGACATTATCAAAGTGCTTTCCTTGTGCTGGGCCTTTCATATGCTGCTCTTATGGTGATTTCCTTTTACAAATGAAGAAACGGAGGCTCCAGAAGGTTAACCAACCCTTGTCCAGGATCACACAGCTGGCCAGAGGAGGAGGCAGGGCCCACTTGTTAGATGCCATTAACCATAAACCTCTGCTGACTCCCTGGGACGTCACGGGTGGCGTGCACTCCAGCCCGCCCTTTCCACTCCGCCACCCTGCCTCCCTCCAAGGTCCATTCCCCTTGTTCTCTGTGTTCTCCCATAGCTGGAGTCAGGGCCCTGCCCAAACCCATGGAAGGGCTGAGCCACAGAGCCACCAGTGCCTCTCCTCTCTTCTTTCTTCCACCTCAACTACATCTCCTCCTCATCATAGCCACAACTTGGAGAAGGGGAAAGAATAAAGGCCGAGGGAGGGCCAGGGAGAGCCAGGCTGACTGGAAACACAATCAATTAAGAGACTCTTGATGATGCCAGAGGGGCTGCAGGTGCATAGTCAGGGAGTGGGGATGGGCTGCCAGGGCCCTAAGTGTCACCTTGGCAACCATCGCAGGGAGAGGAGGAGGGCACGCTGCCCAGGTGCCTGCTGAGGGACAAGGTCGGGAGGCAGCAGGGCTCTGAATGTTCCAGCTTTACTTGGCAGAGAAGGGCGTGGAAGGATCAAGCGAGGCCTGGGAGAGGCCAAACAGGAGGACAAGGCAGAGGCAGAGGCAGAAGCCTGGGTCCCATTCCTAGGGCTGGGTCTGCCTGCCTGTAGGGGCCAGACACATACAGTGGCTGCAGGTGGCAGTGCCCCAGAAGCCAGCTGAGGCAGGAGGTGGGCACTGTGGGGGAAGGGATGGTTCTGAAAGCAGGGGCAAAGCTGGGGGTCAGGGAGGGGTGCTCTAGAGGCTACAGCCAGGGTCAGAAGCAGGGAGAAAGTGGCAAGGATGCTCTGTTTTGAAGAATCTTGGAGACTGTGTCCATGTCTCGAGTTCTGTATGCTCAGAGCCAATCACAATCCCAAACATTCTCTCCCTTTGTCCTTGTAAGTTCAGGATCTGAACTACATTTCCGAGCCTGCTTTTCACGTTGAAGGAGCCCAAAACTCAGTTGTTAGAGCCTGTGTCACAGGTTTTGTTTGGGTGCATTATGGTCACTGTGCCCAAAATAATTGCCACCCTGGGTCTAACAATAATTCAGGAAATCTGGTTTGGTTTTCTTAGGGGAATTCTAGCATATTTCCATATTACCTGCACATCCCTTTGGTGAATATAACATTGCAGGGCTTAGGTGCTGCCCTCAAGGCTCTTAAAATCTAATATGATTTGCTAATACCCAAATGGGAAAGGTTGGAATTTGGATGGATGGTCTTGCAGAGGGAGGCCAGATATTTTTGAGGGAGAAAAGGCTGCCCAGTAGGATGGGGAGGAGGTTGATGGAGAAGGAGTTGCCCAGACAAGAACAAGATCATGGCAGGGGCTTCTGGGCTGGCTAAGAGGGAGAGGGGAAGGAAGAAGTGAGGAAGGTGAGGCTGAAGGAGCAGAGGGAGTTGAGCTGACTCTGTTCCTTTCTGGGGACCCTCACCACATCCTTGTGACACTCTTCTCTTCCCCACTGCCAATCTCTCTGCAGTTTTCAGGGAACCCTACACCGTCCGGGTGGAGGATCAAAGGTCAATGCGTGGAAACGTGGCCGTCTTCAAGTGCCTCATCCCCTCTTCAGTGCAGGAATACGTTAGCGTTGTGTCTTGGGAGAAAGACACAGTCTCCATCATCCCAGGTAAGAAGCGTCCTGGGGCTGCGGCAGACGGCTGCTCGCTTTGTGGGGACTGGGTAAAGTAGAGATGCCTGAGCTGGTTGTTGAGGTCAACAAGATCTTGAGATTGGCCCTGGGGAGTGATTTGTTATTGTTCTGGTGATGCTTTGGCAAAAAAAAAAGTATCTTTGGTCTTGGTCTGGCACGTCTCTGTGTGGGGTGTTGAAGACCCACATGCTGGTCTTGACTGGGTGTGTGAGGGTGCCATCAGACACCCAGTGCAGTGGAAGCCCCATCCTTTCTGACTGCTCGGGTTTTGCTTGACCCAGTCCTGAGGCAAGGCTGGAAGCACCTTACCTGCGAAAGGTGGCAAGGGGACGAGGGATGAGAAGAGGGTTTGTGGTCTGTGTTCCTGCGTTGTGTGACTAAAACAGTGAGCACTGCCTCCTTGGAGGACCTGACTTCAGGAAGCTTGTGTATGGGGACTTTCCTTCTTTCCTTCTTGCATGAGTTGGCTAAAGACTCCATCGGAATTCTAGCTGGCCTCGCTTTGAGGCTGATGTTGGGAGATGGGGTTCATACCATGTTGTGGGTTCATCTCATTACAGCTGCTGTGATTACGAGTCCCTCATTATAGGCTCCTTTTACCTCTGTGGGGTTGTGTCTCCCACAGGAAAACAGGTATGGAAGCCCCAAGAGAGGACCTCAGGTCCTTAAAATACCTCTAGGCCTCCATTTACAAAACTGAGATTTTTCCATCACCAGTTTCTTCCTCTCTGCACATTGCAGGGGTTCTGCTGCGTTTTCTTCCTTTCTCTCCCAAGGACCTTTGTTTCCCTTGCTGTAAATTGGAGCAGCTTGACCAGGTGATCTGAGTGCCCTTTGGGCATTAAGGTCCCATAACTGATTGTATGAAATGATTCTTGTTCCTCAGGGTTGATGGTTTAGTTGGGGAAGATAAGACTTCTATTCATGGAACCTTTAAAGCAGGGGTTCTTAAGCCTGCCACCCATTTAAATCCCCGAGGAACTCCTTTAGAAACACTAGTGCTGGCCGGGCGTGGTGGCTTACGCCTATAATCCCAGCACTTTGAGAGGCTGAGGTGGGTGGATCACGAGGTCAAAAGATCGAGACCATCCTGGCTAACACAGTGAAACCCCCTCTCTACTAAAAATACAAAAAATTAGCTGGGCATGGTGATAGGCGCCTGTAGTCCCAGCTACTCGGGAGGCTGAGGCAGGAGAATGGCGTGAACCCAGGAGGTGGAGCTTGCAGTGAGCCGAGATCGCACCACAGCACTTCAGCCTGGGGGACAGAGCGAGACTCCATCTCGAAAAAAAACACCAATGCTTAGCCTCAAATCAACTGAATCAGACTCTGCCAGGAGTAGAGCCTGGACATCAGCCTTTTCAATGCTCGCTAGGTGGTTCTGATGTGTACCTAGGACAAGAACCATGCTCTGGCGTGTTGACAGCTAATGCAGCAGGAGACTTTCTTTGAGACATTAATTTGCCTTTTTCGCTCAGTACTTTTTCCTTCTCTCAGTTCCAAGCAGATGGCCAGGCCATTATATCTCCAGACTTCAGAGCTTGTAGCAGGATGGGAATTTGAAGCTCCTGGAAGACAGCTGCTCCTCCTGTCTTTTGTAAAACCATAGGCTAACAGCAAAGGTTAGGAAGGGTGTTTTGTCTGGGGAGGAGAGCCTCTGAGGGCAAGGAACAAAGAGGAGATGAAAGGATGCCAGGGTTGGGGACGGTGCGGAAGGCTGCTCCCTGGACGCAGTCAGAAGAAGCGGTTGGACCCCGCAGGGGTGGCTGTGTGGGGCCCTCCTGGGTCCGGGACTGAGGCCAGGGTTCTTGTGTTCAAATGAGTCACAAGGTGCACAGCCCAAGAGCCAAAGCAATCATTCAGGCAGGGACCATGGGCTGGTGAGGACCAGAGGTACCCTGGACCTTGGCATACACTGGGAGAAGCCCCAATAATGTTGGGAACAATCTCCTGCCTATCTAGTAGAGTCAGATTTAAGGTGATTTAAAGAACATAAAGAAATTTGGTGTTCCTTATGCACTTAAGTTTATGGACTAAGCATTATATCCATTAAATAATGATAATTTTTGCATTACAATTTTGGGGGTGCTTACTATATCCCAGGTACAGGGCTCAGAAACTTCCATACAGGATCTCTTTTTATCATCACAAAAAGTCCACAAATGTGTTTTCCCCTCTCCACTTTACAGAAGAGGACACTGAGGCTCAGAGAAGCAAAATACCTTCTGAATCACACTGAGCAGAGGGTGGGGCTGGAACCAGAGTCTGTTTTTTCAACCTGTGTGTTTAACCCCACACAGACATGCTTCCCCCACCATATAAATGTATCCGATAAAGTGTTACTCTAGCTACAGTGGAGGCTTTAAATGTGTGCTATAGGCAGTGAGGGCTTTGGCTTTAGGAAGGGGGACAAATTGATGTAGGGACGACTTTATGGAATCAAGTGCAGTGTGGTGATTAAGAGCCTAGAATCTAGGACCAGACTACCCGCATTTAATACTCCATTGCTTACTGGCTGGGCGAGTCATTTACTCCCTCCGTTTCCCCACCTGTAAAATGGACTCATAGGGTTCGAGTAAGAATTAAATGAATCAATATATGAATGTCTAGAACACTGCCGGACACTTGCTGAGCACAGGTTATAGTGATTATTAGGTGGACGAGCGCATTGGCGCTGGCTGTTTGCTGCGGTGGTGTGTGTTTCTGGTATGGAGTGGTGTCTGTGTTCCCCACGCGACTGCAGTTCCCATGGGCCAGCACTGGATCGTTCTCATCCACACATCCCCACTTCTGCACTCGGGGTAAATAAAAGCTCACTAAATGATCAGTGAGTAGATGAATGGGTGGCTGGAAGAATTCTAGAGGAATCTGGGGAATGGCATGGACAAAGACATGGAATAAGGACAGCAGGCTGGGCGTGGGGTGGGGAGAAGACCAGATCAGATAGGAGAGAAGGAAGGTTAACTGGTTCCTGTGCTTAGGAGCTGGAGGCGGGAGCTTCCCCCAGGCGGCCCTTGTAGTTGGTGCTTCAGGGCTGTCTTTGATGTCAAGACCGGGCTGGTGGCCCCAAAGGGCATAATTATCAGGGAAGTGGCCTTGATGCTAATCTGCGGGGCTGTGTTAAGCTTTTGTTTTGCAGAACCCCTTTCTTTAGTTTGGCCTTGGAGAATTTTCTTCTCCTGCCCAGCCCTCCACCCCTATCCATAATCATTCTAGATCATTCGACAGCTACATGTTAGATCCAGGGCCAGTCTTCCCCAAGCACAGAAATCCAACTAGCATGATCATGGAGGACTCCATGAGAACCAGAGAGAGTGGAGTTTTGTCCAGGCTCTGTAGGTGAGGGGACCAGAACTCCGGCCCGCATGCCACATGCTTTAATTTTGACAAAGGCAAGTAGTTTGATTTTTTATAAAAATAGGATTTTTTTCCACTAACCATATTCACACTGTGCCCAGTATGTGTGCTCTGTGTGTGTGTGTGTGTGTGTGTGTGCGCATTTTGAGGTGGGGAGGGCTGGATGGCACTTCTCATGGTAGGGGAAGATTACATGGCAAGTTGCCCTGAAGGTTAATGGAGGATGGAGGAGCCAGGGATACTTCCCTCTGACGCTTCAGGATCAGCTTCCGGAGCCAGAGGAACTGTGTTGACTTTGATTTCTGGATCTGCAGGGCTGGGCTCAGCTTCTCCACAAACAGCAAGTCCGGGAGGAGCTGGAACACAGAAGGAAGAGCAGGGAGACTGGTGTGGGCCCATGAGAGCCCCAGGAGGCATCCCCTTGGGGATGCAGGTTCCCTGGGAGGAGGGGGCCTCATGTGGTTGCGGCCGCTGTCGGTGGGAGCTGGCTGTCCCACGCCTCTTTCTGAGGGGATCTGGGAAGAATTGAAGGCTTGGGACCAAAACAAGCTCCATGAATTGAATGTTTACTCACAGGTTAGCCTTCCTGGCTCTCTGGCTATCCTGAAGCTGGCGAAGGAAACTCTCACCAGCTTTTTGGCTGTGCTTTGCCCAGGGCAGTGACAGGCTGGAGAAATAGCTCAAAGTGCTACCCTTTAGCCACCTCCTATACCCGCCTCCACTCCCTCAAGCAGGTCATCTTTCCATCCCGCTGTTTAAAGACGTGTGTATGAAGCACAGAGCCTCTCACTTTGTCTCTGGCAGACTCCCACCCTTGCTTCTCTCTCCAGGGATTTGGTCCCGGTGTGAACTGGCTCTCTAAGGCTGGCAGGGTGGGGGTAAGAGGGCCAAGGGCTGTGCACAAACATAAATTAAAATTAAGGCCTCCAGTGAAGCTGAGATGTGGTTTAATTTCCCATCTGCATGATCACCATTACAATACATGTTATTGGATATAAAGATAAATCCGGCCCTGTTCCTAATAGCTTTTAATTTCCACCAGACCTGATTATATCAATGCGGGCCCCTTGTGGGAGTTTCCCAGCATGCTCTTCCCCAGCATCCTGACTGGCTGTCTCGGCCCCAGCGGGGAGTTTGGGACACTGCTCAGATGCGGGCCAGATGTGTCTGCTGCTGCTCAGGAAGACAAGCCTGCATCAGCTCCCTTGTCCATGCAAATTGGAATACTGAGTTGTCACTGTGCCTTGGCCGGCTGAAAGTGCACTGAGGACACTGTTTGTTGTGAGTAGGGAGACACAGGGCCAAGGAGGCATCTGGCCAGAGGGGTCCTGTGACATGAGAAAAGGTGTCCTAGTGTCGTATAAGGATTCCTATCAGGCAGTGCTTCCTCCCAGGAGCCCACCTTTGGCCAAGAGAGCAAAGTAAACCACCAGCCTCTGTGGAATAATGAACTCCAGAGTTCCAGGGTGCCAAGTGGGTTTTCATAGCTCTCATTCCATTCAGCGATCTCTTCTGCCTGGGGTACAGTGGACCCCTCCTCTCTGTTGGCGCCCTGGCCCTCTTTTGTCCATTACACTTTTGTCCCTTACTCTTCCACGAGGCCAGACATAGGCCTGCCA